TTCCTAATTTTAAGTTTTCTCTCCTCCTGTAATGTTATTGCTGATGTCCCTTAGCTGTCTTTCATTTGTATAAAAATGCTGCAAAGAGAGATATGGCTGCAAACTTTCTAAGGGTTGTCATGGCTACTCCTGACAAACAAAAAAAAAGTCAATCCTTTCGTCTACACCACTTAAATCACTCAACCTTTCTCACCCTTTTCCTATATATTCCAACTTGATTTGGCTTTTTATAATAGGAAAATACTATAGGAAGCTAATTGATTCAGCACAGCTTGTCCAACTCAGAAATAAACAGAGGGGAAAAAATTATCCCATTTTTTTTCCTTTCTTTTTTTTTAAAAACCAGATTGTGAACAGAAGACTGTTTCACACTCTGTCTCCCATGGGGCAATGTGATGAACTAATCACGTAGCGATTCTACCAGGTCACAGCAAATAATTAAGACACTTGTTACAGTGTTCCATGTGGTGCCATCCTGTAGTGATTCTGAATGGATTTTCCATAAATTCAAGAAAAGGTTCTTTAAAACCCTAATTTAAAATCTACATCTTAGCTAATTAAGAACACTGTGGCTCAAACTAATGTGTCATTTCACATCTAGTGTATTGATAATGTGCCATCCTGAGTGTAGGTGTCAATTTTTCCTCCCGTCCTTAGCTCTTCCAAATTCTAAGGTATTTGCTGAAAATGGAACACAGACATATTTTATAGCTTTAGTGATCAGCATGGCAGAAAATAAGCATAAGACAGTCTGCATACATGGGTACCAATTATCTGATATTTTCATATTTTCATGTTATGTTTAAAATGCCACTGGAAAAAAGAGTAGTGTCCAAAAAGAAGGCTCCCGCTGCAGTGTGGGGCTGATTAACATTAGATGAATTAGACAAAGATACTAAGGAATCCTTTTCAGATTTTTTTTTAATGGAGGTAGTCATGTATCTGTCAAGCACAGTTTAAAAGTGAATCTGACAAAAACAATGCATTACCTCACAATATTTTCCATATACAAGTGTGACCTCTCAGGACTGTATGCATCTCACTATGTGACAAGCACGAATAGCCCTAATTTAAAAATAGAAATTCTGAAATTCAAATAAATAATAAGGTTCCACAATTTCAAAGAGACATAGAAGACCTCAGATATTTTTTTTTTAACATGTAGAAAATCCAGGACAATATAAGCTTCTAAAATTTTTCTGAACAGTTCTGAGAAAGTCTGGTTTAAAATTCTAAGATTTTATCCCTCAGTTTTATTTCAAAAATTGCTGCCTCTTCATACCTAAATATTCTTGAATTATTTCTGTAATTAGTATTATTCTAAAGTTAGTTCTAAACTAATATTAAAGTTACTTTTTTGAATTTTGGTTTTTTAAAAATGCATTTAGGAAAAGAAAGCATTTGGTTCTAGTTTTTTTTTTTTTATGTATGCTTGAATAAATGATTAAGAATGATATACAATAAAACTGGATATAGTAGTTTTGTTCTAAAACATAGCATTATTCTGTATGTTATCCTAATTCACAGCTTAAGACCTAATTATTTAAGTGGGATTTAATTCAAATACAGCTGAAACAAGAGAAGAGTAACATTTCAAATGTTTAAATAGAAAAATGAAACTAAGAATAACTATACAATGATTATATAACAATCATTCTCAGCTAAATGTGTTATCAATAGATTAGTTTAATATACATATTTATTTCTAAATGACATAAAGGAGATATTTATATCATTCCAATACCAAAAAAGAGACAAAATTAAGTTAATTGAAAATAACACATGTAATCATTATGCTAATATAACATCTAAATAAAAATTATAAAATACTTTAAAATTTTTATAAAATCTTAAAATTTCAAATACTTCATATTTATTTCAGTGATTTGATTTCAATTTTGCAGATTCCCAAACCACAAAACAAACTTCTACTTGTACAATGTTATTAAAATGCTTCTATCAATCCTCTTTGGTTTTGTGAGAGCAAAGGAAAAAGAAAAACTTTGAAATGAATAACTTGATAATTTTTACATCTTTGTTTCATTTTCTGCAACATAGGTGCAGAAAATGTTTAAATATTAGAAAATTATAAATATTCTTTTAAAATGGAACTATAAAAAATACAAACAATTAATTTGTATAAGATAGTAGATTTGAAAAAATATGTGTTAAATACTAAACATTGTGAAAATTAACCTACATGGTTTCCATCAGTGTTTTTTGTTTTACCTCCCTTTATTTTATTTACTTCAGATTATATAATAAGTACAATTTGTACTCAATGCTAGATAGAAAAATTATTAGTGATATGATCGCTAAAATATAAATAATGCATATTTTTAAAATATTAGCCAGTCCATAATTTTTAATCTCCATAAATTAAATTATTTCCCTTTAACCCTTTCTAATAGTGAAATAGTGAAAGTTTTTCAGCTCTTATGACCACTTCCACACCATACTTAGAACTAGAACCCCTGGCTGTTTTACACATAAGTACTGTGAAAATAGTTCACTCATTTGGGCACATGACTTATGTGGATAGCATCAGTACTTATGGCTGTCAGTGCTTCAATCTGAACATTATCTTCACCCTCAGATTTTGCAGCTTGGAGAGAAATACAGTAATAAATGGTTTCTGAAAAGACATTTAGCAATTAAACATGAAAATGTCCTTTTAAAATTAATTGCTAAATTTAAATAACACATTACCCACTGGTCAAATTATGTTTCAATTTAAAACCTGTGTGTTTAGCCACGTTGCTAACATTGAAATATATATATACATTAGGCAAATATTACATCAAAACATTAAGCATGTTTTAAAAGTCACTTTTTGTTTGGTCCGATGTAATTATTAATGAGTTAACTCTTACTTACCCAAAACTTGCTTATTGTGGACAACATATCCTAATTTTCCTTTTAATTATAATAAATAGAATAAAACCAATAAAAACTTAACTTTTTCTACTTTACAATAAACTCTATCTTTCAGTAAGTGATCAATTAATTTCTACCTTTTAAATTTTATTTTTTAACCTATAAAAAGTATTAGTTTTAAAACCATTATCTTTGTTAATAATATTAGAATAGATGATTGACATTCATTTTAGGGTTTATTTTCTTCCCCACTTGGTTTCAAAGCCTTTACATAGGATTATTAAACTGGAATGTCATGTAATATTCATCAATCTCAGTTATTTACAGTATATGAAACTTCTCTTGTCACTCCATGTCTCTTATACCCATTACTTTACTTCCTGAAATTAAGTATCGTTTGTACTGCAAAAGAACCAGAAATAAGGGAACAGTTTTAGTTCTTATAATGACAGCTGAAGAGTTAAACTGACACAGGTCTTTTTTTATTTTATTTTTTGGATGCTATTAGACAAACCATTTTCTCATTAAGGGTCAAAATCAATGGCACCAATGTGAAAGTTGTAAGAATCTTATTAATAAAATTATTTTGCATTTCATGTTAGCTATACCAGCAAATACTTCAGATGCTTATTGTTAATTCAGTTAGCAAATTTCAACGAAAAATATAATTTTGCCTTTCTTATTTTACCAACATGGAATGGAAATTTTACATAAGAGCATATTGACTACTAAAGTTATTAAAATCCTGTTCTACATCAAGGGTTGAATGATGTAAATAGGAACAAAAAAAGTTTCCCATCCAAAGTGTCCATCTTCTTAATCCACTGGAATGACAAAACAGAATACACTTCAAACCAAAATTGAATTCCTATTAGAAAGGATAATAAATAATAACAACTACATGAAAATACGTCAACATTTTCCTTCAGAATAACAATCCACTAGAAATCCAGGGACAGCTCATTCTCTTTGAAGTTTAGAGACTGGTAATGACTTCTTGTCATAATGAAAAAGCAGATTACCTCTTTATATTTCACAACTAACCACTGTACAAAAAGAAAATTCAACTTCATTAAGTATAAGAGAAAATATTTAATGGCCATTACTATACATTGCTGTTTTCCAGGAATGGGACTACTTCAACATTTTCTCTGTGTGGAAGGTACAGAGTGTTCAGGGGTGATGACCCTTGAAATTAAGAATATTAATATTCCAAGGTGATGCACAGGACAAAGTGAAGAAGCGATATATCAATATTGTGAAGAAGGCTGCATTCTGTCGTTAAAAGGTTTATTAGAGAAGCTACTTTATTAGTAAACAAGGAGTTCGACAACATGGATTTTCATCAACATTTTGGAAAGTATAGTTTGCATTACTGTTCACTAGGAAACAGTTATTCTGATCCATGTTAAGTCATACTAATGGATTACATACCAAGTAGAAAGAAAACATATACTACATATCTTTAGTACAGGTGTTTCCAATATGACAGCAAGCTGTTAGCAACAAACTTATCAAGCGACTGTGAAACGGAATGAACATTCTTAATAACTCTGCCTGTGTACCCCATCGCAGCATCTTAGCAACAGGGGAGATGAAAGAGATGCTTTAAGTTTCCACAGGGCAAAAAGCTGTAGCTAAGCAAAACTGACAACCAAAATGCTGAAAACTATAGCTTGATTTTTTAGGAACCACTTCACAATCTTAATGATTTAGTTGGCTCAATTCACCTGAACATAGACATGGCAAACCAAAAGGAACGCAAAAACCTATCCTTATCACTAAACTTGCACCAAACCCACTCCCACCTGCAGAACTGAACAGTGACCTTTCATCCACCTCAAGTCAAAATCAACCTAAGACCCATGGTGACAGATTAACTTCTCTTCTTGACGTCTCTTACCCTTCTTTACTAGTTTTACATCTCACGATGTTACTGGCTGCAATCTTAACACAGCTACTTACTTATAAACCCCAGAGTCTCTAGAGTCTTGTAATATCAGCTCTTTCGAGACTTGGGACAGAACCCAAGGCGATCCCACACCGGCTCTCCCGCGTCCCCGCGCGAGGGTCACTCACTGCCTTACCAATTTTCCTGTGATCATTCTCTGGGAGGCACTTACCTGCTGCTCCCCAGGCTCCGCCGACTTCACCAGGTGCTTATCCTTGTACAGAGACCAGAGACCAATGTTAGGCAGGAAAATTAAAGCCACCGTGAATAACAAAGTCATCTGCAGAAATCTCTTCTGTTTTCTCTTCATTGCAAATGGTAATAGAGAAGAAAAGTTAAAGGAGATGGCTCCCTGACTGCTCCTTGAGTTTAACGTCAAATTCCTTTCCTCTCCCCTGCGAAGCACCAGAAACTGAGAAGCTACAAACTTTTGTTGCGTGCTCAGCACCAATCTGCACGGTTCAGAGGGAGTTGGCCATCTGCAGAACAAACGCACAGTTACTTTCCCCCCGGAAAACTATGACGAAGGCATTATCTATTGGCTTAGACATAAATGACTTGACCGAGGAAATCATTAAGCCCATTGACCTCCATTACTATGAAGCAATGGAGGCAACGGGATCGTTTCTTGGACTAAGGGTAAGTTACGAAGAAGTCAACAGCATGCTGGATACTTAGGGAAAGCGGAGTTGTGGTGGCCCTTGTTGCTGTGGCCCCCACCCCCTCAGTGTGGGAGGGCTGGGTCGGGGTAGAGCGGCTGAGGAGAGAGAACTGAGGGAGAGGAACTGGCTCAGCCCCTTCCAGGGTCAGGAAGAAAAGTGTCCGCTTTCGACATTGGAACAGCGTCCCCTTCCTGGTCTTCCCTGAACCCCTCTTCCCGGTCTTCCCTGAACCCCTCTTCCCGTGCTCCCCTCGGGATGACCCACCTGAACTCCAGTTCCACTCCCTCCGGAGCCAGCGTGCCGGCGGCCGGGCTCCCCCGGAACCAAGGGACTCCGAGTCCGGGCACAACTCCGGTTCGGAGGGAGGGCCAGGAACCGTCCGCACGCTCCTGTGCAAGCAGCGGCTCGGAGCCCGGGAACCCGGCGGGAATGCGAAGGCTACAGATGTCAGCGGCGTCCAGCCAGCAAGTGGAGGCGCCCTCCTCCGAGCGCGGTCCTCTGAAGAGTGAGCGCTCAGCCCCTCAGGCTCGTCCCTTCCCGCCGCGACGCTCTCGCCCTACGAGGCTCATGTTACCATTCTTTTCCGGCCCCGGAACGAACCCGCAGAACAGTCGCCGGCACCTAAAGGTCGGTATTTGTCAATCTCCTTTTCTCGTGGAGGGGATGGAGGCGGAGACACCGAAGTCCGTGCGGGGCTTGGAAGCGGGCGAGGGCGCTGCGAGGACGAGCGGAAGGCGGAGAGGCGCCGCGCCTCCCACAGGCCGCCCGCGCCCTGCTCCCCGGTGCTGGTCTTGCGCGGAGATGCCGCTGGCGTCGGCCACGAGCGGGAGCCCGCAGCCCGGAGCCCGGGAGGGGAGGGCGGGCCGCCCGGCGGGGGTGGGCACTGTCGCGCGGCCTCCAGACGCGGCACACACAGACCCGGGCGCCAGGCGGCGGCGGAGGGCAAGCGTGACGCTGAGTGGGAAGAGGAGGCTCCCCGCCTGTGCGGGTCCTCTCTCTCCGCGCCTGGGCTTCTCCGGGCAATCTGGGACGGACAGCTGTGCGGGCGCTCCGTCAAGTCACCCAAAGGGCGCCAGGCCAGAGATTCCAGAGGAAAAGTCGCCAGCGGCGCGCGGGTGTCCCGGGGATTCCTCCATGCTGCCGGCAGGAGCGCGGCACGCCGGGGCGCGGCGTCTGCGGGAGGCGGAGGCGACCCGGGGCTGGGCAGGTCCCGCGAAGAGGGTATTCCCCGGGCAGCGCGTCCTGCCGTTCGGGCCTGGTAGGGGGTGGGGAGGGAGGAGGAAGAGGATCCGAAGCGAGGCCGAGCTGAGGCTCCGAGTTCTCAGGCAGCGGCTTCTGGAGAACACCCTGGAGACTCACGGCAGCGCCATCCACGGGGCCCCGGTTGGGATATGATAGTGCCACCCCGCTCCTCCCCCGCCTCTCACGACCGCACTCCGCGCGCCTGTCGCTACGAGGGATACCTGTCCTCGCACCCTCCTCCGCGATGGCCAGAAAACGTGGGGATCAAGATAGGACTCTGGCAGATGGTACTCCTCCCTCCGCCTAACGTATCCATGCATCAACGCCCCTGACAGCGCAAGCTGGAACCTGTGGCAGCCTCACCAAGGGACAGCGGGCCCAGCACCGAGTACCAGCACGCTGGGATCTAGAGCTCACAACTCGAAAGGAAAGGGGACTTAGAAGAGGCAACAGACATGCTTGCAATGCAGGCTTCAGCCTGTCTAGAGCCAACAAGACACACCATGGTCACCTCTTTGTTACAACCTAGACAGGATGCCCACATGCTTGGGATAGATAAGGCTGTGGACTTCAGACGCTGTTTTCTCTTTTCCTTCTTCTTTCTCATCCTCATCTCTGTCCCTCCCTCCTTTTCTTCTCGCCCTGTCTCTTCTTCCCCTTTCTACTCTCTCTCTCTGGTGTCTCACTTGAGAAAGACCTAGATTTGAGCAGGAAGTTATGCCTTAAAAACTGTTCGCATTATAAATTCAAAATGCATTTGAACAGTATAGGTTGACTGTATGGCTGCATGAATAAAGCACTATGCTGTAATACTTGTTTTGGTGAATCACTTGAATTTTAAAACAGTATAAAAACATATTTAATAAATGTTGAATGTGTCCTTTATATAAAGACCAATTACCTCTAAATTTTATATAAGTGCAACTTGATCTAGAGTGCAAGGGACTTAATTCCTTACCCTCACCCCCCACACATACACTGCCTTTTGTAGTTAGCGTTATTTTCTAACCTTCTTTTTCTCTCTAAAGAAGTGCAGCTCTAAGACACAAAATAGGAATTCTGGGAAGCAACGTAGCAAGGGGAGGTTTCCTGGGAATATTATCAGGTGCTCAAGGAAATACACTTGGAGAATCATTTAATTATATTGGATGTATTTTTAAGTACTGATACAGCTATTAATTTTCAAAGTAAAATAACTCAAAAGTGCACTGGGAATTAAAATCTCTCATTTTAAATAATGCCTGTTTTTTAATACCTAAAAAAATCGTCTTGGGTCAGGACTGGACATATTATCATTCTATTTGTTGACTCCAGGGTGTTGAGTTGAAACATGCTTCATTATTGTTACACTAGTAGACGGTCTTGCATGCAGCACCCATTCAGAGAACATCATCATGAATTACAGTGCGCTGTTACATCATCATGAATTACAGTGACATAATCACTGTTACTTCCCCAATCAAGCACATGCAGAATACATGGTAGAAGAAAAGGCGGAAGTTACTATGCTCACCTCTGTTTTACAGCACAGTTCTAGATCCTCACTTTAGATTTCTCTTTTACTCTGTAAAATTTATTTGTTTTTGATTCAAGGCATAATTTCTCTTTCCCTTCAGTCAGGTATTCTTTCACAATTCCTCATGTAAATTACCAACAGATGGCAATGTATCTAACTAAAATTGGTATGCTAGGTTGAGTTTACAAACAAAAAAACTCCACATGACAGTTAATATTTTTGCTCCAACAATTCAGATTAAATGCCAATATAAATATATGTGTATAATATATATATGTGTGTATATATATATACAGGTGGGCATGGTCTTTTAAATTTTGCCTTATATAGAAAGACACCCATTTTATGTCCTATTTGCACTCCGTTCTGTTAGGATTCAACTGGCAACCTCAGGTTATCAGATGCCGCTAATAATGTACTAATAGCTATAGGGACACATGGAAAGAAAACAGAGCATTATCAGTGACTTTGAGTAACTTACACTCTAGTTGAAAATACAACACAAAGGCAATTGAAATAAAGTACCAAAGCTGCTTTGGTACTAATCTTAAATTGAGCCAAATTTAAGCCCTATATTTAAGGAGGCAGAAGGACATTCCTTCAGTTATCTCTCTATTCCAAAATGTAGTGACTTTAAAAAGCAATTATTTTGCTATTTCTCTTGTGGGTCTGTGCATTGAAGAGGCTCAGCTGGGTGGTTACGCTTGCTGACACAGGCTGAGGCCTAGGAGGTTGAATGGGCTGAGCCAAAATGGCTACTTTACATGGCTGACAGTAGGCAGTGACTGTCAGCTGGGAGGTCATGGGGCTGTCAACTGGAGCTCCTCAGCTTTCCTCCATATGGCCACTGCATGTGGCCTGAGCTTCTCATCACATGGTAGTTAGGATCCAAGAGAAAGTAACCCAAGAACCTGTGTTCCAAGCGGGAGAAAACAAAAACTGTCAAATCCTCTTAAAAGCTAAGCCCAGAACTGGTACAGGCTCACTTAGGGAGCAGTCACTAGACAAGCCCAGATTCAAGGATGATGTGGAGGTAGGGGATAAAATTAATATCTCACAGAAAAGTATGAAAGAGAATATGTGGCCGTTCTTAATCTGCTTTAGATATTCAAAGTCACAGAGGTAGGGATTCATAAAGAAGGCCTAACCAGGTTAGAAACCAGATGATGGGAAGAAGTAGGGAAAGGTTCTCATAGTTTGGGTTCTGTAGAATTGTTTAATTGGTACAAAGACAGGAAATGACTTGAATTTAGGGTGCAAATACTCTTATTACCTTGATATTTAAAAAAACACATGATGACAGGAATGGAACTTAATTTGAAAGATGTGCAGTCATGATTTTGCTGTGTTAGCAGATATTTTCAAATGAACTAGTTAAAAGCTTTATATCTGCAAAGATAATGCCTGGAGAAAGACTGTCATTTCACAAACCAAAGGAAGGTCATCAGCAACAAACTTTGGAGTATATGTTTTTACCCCAACACTTTAGAGTTGCAAATTGATAAGCTTTTGTTATTAAATATAATAACAAAAGTATAAGAGAAAATGTAAATTGCATTATTTTTAAGGTTATAGTAACTACATTCTTAAGAAATTATATTGAAATTTATCAGTTATCTTTAATCTTGAATTGGTAGGGTTTATTTTCATTTAGATTTGAGTGTTTTCCAAGTTTTTTATCAGAAGGCACAAGCATTAAAACATAAAGACAATGTGTCTAGAAATTAAGATGCATTCATACTTCTTTTGTGTAATAGAGATCTCTGGAATATAAAAAAATCTTGAAAGTTTTCACTCTGGATAAACTACTAGGCTACTTTCTTATTACTCTGTGTTTGACTAAGTTACCTTTTTTTTTAACATTCTGCAATGAAAAAGGAAAGATAAATGCACTAAGTAACAATTTTAGTAAAAGTACATTTAAAATATACAATTCATTTTGTGTAAATAAAATAAGACACATTACTAAAATCTTCAATTTTTTTTCCGCTGGAATTTCAGTATTTGCAACAATATGATAAAGAAAAACAAGAATCAAATTACATGTTAAAATTGTGATATTACCCAGTCTCTATCATCATTTAAATTCCTTACCAAAAGAGCCCTGAGTCCATTTCCATATATATTCAGGTGCTGTTTGACAGAGGATACAAAGTTGAACATTAGAATTTCCAGCACCGGGAGGGAGTTAAAAAGGTGCTTGCAATTAAATGTGGTAGGAATGAGAAAGTGACAAGTCCTAAAAGGGAAAGAAGGAGATTATTTCTACTTGATCTAAATATTTTCCAACTAGACCAGATCCTTGACCTCATGAAGTTTAAACACTAACTAAATATACTTCCTAATAGTTTTTCCTCTACCAATAGAATATATCTTTATTGTAATGTATTTTCTTTTCCTGTTTATTTAGTGATCACACACACATATTTAGCACTTACTACATGCCAGATATGTAACCCAATCCTTTTCCAAACATTAAGTCATTTAATCTTATAAATAATTTATGTAGTTTCTATTAATATCTCCATTTAATAGTTTAAAAAACAAGGACAAATAGATGGTAAGCATCTTTCCTAAATAAGTGCTAGCAAGTGCTAGGTCTGGTACTTAAACCCAGGAAATTTGTGCTAGATTCCAAGCTTTTAACCACTATACCATATTTCTCTAATATTTTATTATTATCTTTCCACAAAAGGTGTTAATTCTCTCTACGTCTCTGTCTCTCTTTCTCTCTTTTATTTCTGCCTTAAGACTAAGATGATTAAAGGAGCTCAACAAAATATGAGTTTTAGAAAGATGATAGTCTAGTTTTATAACCTGGAACTCTCTCTATTCATATTTTGTGTGGAGTATAAAAAAGGTGCAGTAAAGTAACCATATATTTGTATTTTACATATTATATATATATATAATTCTGTATTTTTAGTTCATATGATTACAATTTTATGTAGATCGTATATGAGATTTTTATCTTAGCTTTGACTTTTATCTTTTCATGTAAAATATTTGCACCATTTTAGAAAGAGTGTTTTGCGTGTCAACTTCAACACAAGTTTGCTTGTGATGAACAAGTAAACGGCATTCATTTATTTCAAGTGAAAAATCCAAATAATCTTTGGAATGATGAGATCAAATGGTAATAAAGAGAATGTTAAATTTGTAGGAAAGATATTTTTTATAATAGTCCAAAACAAAATATGAGCGAACATTTTAAAGAGATACAATTAATAAGTGAAGCCAGTGAAATGCTTGAGAAGCCATTGAATGACATATTCCATGTTCTACTTTTTCTTTTTTGGAGAAAGAGAAAAAAAGAATGCCATGCACACATTACATATTGGATATACAGAATTTTATTGGGTAGGATATTTATGAATAGGCAATAAATAAACCAAAAAATAAAGTGTAAACATTTTCCCTTCTAAGTCATAATGATTTCAATTAACAAGACCTATATTGAATATATTAAATGATCCAGGAATTCAAGATACAATAGTGAATACTACAGGAGAAGAAAAATCCTGTCTTCAGATAATCCACAGCAAATGATATTAAATGTGGAGCCTAGTGGTTTAATAATTACAAAAAAATAAGGTAGTAAAAATGAAAAACATTATGGAATGCTGAAAGCTAGAGTGGTGTGTAGTGGATATTTGAATGACACTGGTTTGAGCTGTGAGGCACCACTTATACATAGTGTTCCACTTCTCCTACCCTGACAAGAAAATCAACCCTGCTTCTTCCTGCTCCTCCTTAGCCTACTCATCATGAAAACAAAGAGGATGAAGACCTTTATACTGATCCGCTTCACTTAATTGAATAGGAAATATATTTTCTCTTCACTATAATTTTCTTAACTTTTTTATCTAGTTTATTTTAAGAATACTGTATATGGTGCATATAACATACAAAATATGTGCTAATTGACTATTCAGTATGGCTTCTGGTAACAATAGGCTGTAAGTGGTAAAGTTTTGGGGGAGTCAAAAGCTATACACAGAATTTTGGCTATGCTGCAAATCAGTGTCTTTAACCCCCTCATTGTTCAAAAATCAACTGTAATTTCTAATAAAGCATACTGGACAGTCCTGAGTAGGTAATATTTGAATAAATATCTGAAGGAAGCAAGGAAGTGACTATTGGATGTCATGAGAAATTGAATTCTAAATAGAAAGAACAGCCAGGGAAGGCCCCTGAGGTAGGAATTTGGGATTTCAGTAGGAAATGGTCTGGAACAGAGGGCACTGAATGTGGAGAATAATGGACCTAAGGTCTAGAGGTGATGGAGTAGGGAATCATGTCAATATAATCTATGGTAGAGATTTTGGCTTTTAGTCTGAATGAAAGGGGACGCCACTGAAGTGCCTTGAATAGAGACTGATGTGATCGGACTTATGTTTAACAAGATTATCCTGATGGCAACTCTGGAAATAGCTTATGTGATAGATAGGAATACGGTGAGACTGGTTGCAATAATCCAAAAATGGAGGTGTCTTGCATCAGGATAATGGAGACGATGAAAGTGGTTAAAATATTATCAGAATATTCTGACCATGAAACCGCACTGAATAGTTATTGAAATGAATGTAGGATGTAAGAGAGAGGACTCAACATATTCCAAGTTTCAGATCCAAATACTGGGAAGATTGCTTTTGTCTTTTGCTGAGATGGGAAGAAATTGGGAGAAACTAGTTTAAAGAAGACAATCAAGTGTTCATTTTAGAATTATCAAATTGACATTGCTAACGGTGAAAATGTTGAGTAAGTATGCAGACATAAGACCTTGGAATTCTGCAGGAGTAAATGAGTACATGGAATCTAAATTGGAGATAAAAGTGAAGAAGTCCTTAGAGTTCTTAAAGCCATACAATGGAATACCAAGGAAGTGAGTACGTATAGATAAGAGAACAAGCAAAGGTGGTCAACCAAAAGAACTTGAGGAGATCAGGTGAAAGCAGCAGTGCACCCTGAGAAGAAGTGGTTAGTGTTGCGAAATGAAGTCAAATGAAGAAACTGTCTCTACGAGAAGGGAGTGATCAAATTCATCAAATGAGGTGGATAAGGCCAAAACTATGAAGTTGGATTAGCAATTGTAAAATTTCCTTATCCCATTAGAAAGCAGAAGAGTTAGCAGCATCAAGTGCAGCCAAAAGCAGCAGTTTAGACCCTGGAAAAGATGATCTCTACAGAAAATCTGATAATAAAGTTGTAATTAGCATAATTATGTTAAGCACTTAATGACCAAAGCAAGGAATGTATTTAATTTTGTGCTATTCAAGCGTATTTGTCTCTAAAAGCAATTATCAAAAGAAAATAAATAGATTGCAAACATTACTAGTTTATGAGAATTTAAATTATTTTCTTCCATATTGTGAAACTAAGACACAATGAATTTTAAACTTACTTTATAGGAGCATCTCAAACTTCTAATGTCAACATATTTTAAAAGCTAAAAAGTCCCTGGGTTAGCTATCCTTGCCTTCTGATCTTATCTGAACAACCTGAGGGCTCATAGCTAGCCGTTCATTAACATGCTCAATAAATTTTATTGAGAAACTAGTCTTCCTAAAACCAGTACGGAACTATCTTTCTATTATCCAAACAAACTCAAGTTTACACGATTTCAGATGTGATGTATGTCTGCTCCTTTTCTTTTGGAAGTCTTTGAGAATCTAATTTAACTTTTTCTATATATTTTTGTCTATGTGTGAACACATATACACATATAATTTCTATCAGCATAACTATGCAGCAAAAATTTTAACAGTCTCTTAATACTGATAAAATATTTTGTCAAGTGAAATAGGGAGCAATTACTATGCTTGGATAGATGTACTAAAGTATTGGTGGGGAGTGCGTGTGTGTGAGAGAGAGAGGGAGGGAGGGAGGGAGGGAGAGAGAGAGAGAGAGAGAGAGAGAGAGAGAGAGAGAGAGAGAGAGAGAGAGAGAGAGAAAGAGAGAGAGAGTAACTAGGGTCAAATGGCCTAACCAAATTCACATGCAGTCCATCTTAACACTGATACATTCTTTATAAAATCATCACCATAGGGCCAGGCGCGGGGGCTCACGCCTGTAATCCCAGCACTTTGGGAGGCCGAGGCGGGTGGATCACGAGGTCAAGAGATCGACACCATCCTGGTCAACATGGTGAAACCCCGTCTCTACTAAAAATACAAAAAATTAGCTGGACGTGGTGGCGTGTGCCTGTAATCCCAGCTACTCAGGAGGCTGAGGCAGGAGAATTGCCTGAACCCAGGAGGCGGAGGTTGCGGTTAGCTGAGATCGCGCCATTGCACTCCAGCCTGGGTAACGAGTGAAACTCCGTCTCAAAAAAACAAACAAACAAACAAAAATCACCATATAGCACTAACAAATTCTATACAATAGCCAACCCTCACTATTTCCCTGTTCAGTGTGTGATTCTGTCTGAATACATCAGTTCTGCTTATGTTTATAAAAAATAAACAAGTAAATAAAACCCTCAAAATGAAAGAAGCTCATATTAATAGTGTCTGAAATACCTATGAATTACATTAATAATTCTGGTATTCAAAAGTTATTTCTAGTCGTAAGAGTTGGGATTTTCAATTTCACACCCAGGTAAGTAAATATATCTTTTGAGATCCCCTTTGAGAAGCTCTAAGAAGTTGTATGCAGTCAACATAGCGACAGTGAGAAGAACAGCTAGAACAAGGAAAGTGTGTGTTCAAACTCCATTTGCATTACTTGCCATCTGAATGACCTTGAAAGACATGAAACTATCCTGCCTGTCTTCCTATGGACTGTGGAGTGGGAATTTATCAAGGGTTATGGTGATGATCAAAGCAGGTAACATAAAATATAAAGATGT